GCTCGCAAATAAATTCCCGCTGTAAAAAAAAAAAAAAAAAAAAAAAAGATTTTTAGTGTTTAATTTTAGCCCTAGGTTGGAATTCTAGATACTGGGGCTGTGGGTGCTCCTTTGAGTTCTGTGCCAGAAACAAGAAGAGCAGTATGAGGGGATGGACAGGCACAATCCCAAGTGCTAGGCTGAGACACTTGTTAAAAGAGGCAAGGTTTTCCTTACATCCTCCCCTGAGGAGCTGGCTTGAGGGAGGACCTCTAATCAGACTGCACAGGGTGAGGGGAGGGTAAGGCCTGAAGCAGGCAGGGGAGGAGAAAGTTATAACTCTTAGTCATTGTTATAAAATGACTACCAGCTTCCTGCCCCAAGTCCTGCTGGGGGGGGGAGTTCCCAACCTTTTCAGCGGACAGATTCTGGGGAGTCCACCAGCCCAAACCACACCGACATGTCTTCGGAGCAGCATCTACAGGCCCCAGTCGTCAAGCAGGAAATATCTTAGGTTGCAAATCCCTAAATTTGATCTAAAATTGAACACCAACAAGGAAACTGACAGATCAAAACTTTACTAAAGTGGCAGTGGGAATACAAAACACCACCCACCTTTTATGATTTCTTTACTCTTCCCAGTTTAAAAATAGAGGCTGGGGTCCTAGTCTTGTGCGTTTGCTATACAGTAATATACAATATATTGCAGCAAGCTTAGGTCAAGTCTGAGTTTAAGCAAAGTGCACTTTTGACTATATTACTTAAAAACAGTGACTAATTATATAGAAAAAAGCTTGTTGATACAGCCTAATATGTAATCAGATGCCACCTATAAAAAGGCATATGTACTATCACCTTTTTGATCTACCTGCAAATGAGGTGAACAAATCAGTAACTGATAAGAAAATATGAAAGTTATCAATGGGAGCCTCTCCATCATTTCACTATGGCTCAGGAAAAAAACCCTCTTTTTTAGCCTTACTCAGAGGCTCCACCATAATTACATTAGCACTGCCCTTGAAGAAAAAACATTGAGTTCAATGATAGTGATATAGTATCAAGCTCTCTCTCTATCATACTCACACATACAAACCTCTAATCCCCACCGCACAGGATCATTCTAGTTTGAAGTTATATTATTTCCAAAAGAATTGCCAACCTTTTCTTTCTTGGACTTGCTGATTTGTGGCTAAAGTGGTTATTATTCCAACTATAAAATAAGGCACCACCTAATATTTTTAGTTGTCTTTGGTACCTGATTTATTCCGCCCCCACTGTAAGTAGTGGAGGCTGTAGTGTGTGTGTGTGGGGGGGGGGGGATGGAATTGAAAAGGGAAAAGAAAATGACAAGAGTACTTGTGGAAACAAAGTTTTCCCCAGATTTTCTCTGTGCGCTGTTATGCCGTGTGTCACAAAGGAACATTTTCAGAAATGTGCTTTTAAAAGTACATCTAGTGATGCAAAGTTTAACTTGCTGGGTAAACCAAGTGTAGTGCTGCTTTGCATCATTAGAACAGCAAAACACAGTCAGACCAAAGTAATGAATCTGGACCAACACTTCTAAAATTAATATTCACTTTTCAAAAACTCTCTCTCCCTGCACTTATTTCTTTGTCCTCCTTCCCAACTCAGCACATTAAAGTAAGTTCTTTTCTGGATTGACTTATTTATATTTTAAGCTTTTTAATCGCTGCATTACTAAGCATTAGTCACCAGACGGACTATATTTTCTTTCTTGGCTTAGGCTCTCATTGTGGGACGTCTTTCCTTAACAGGAGCCTTCAAAATAGAGAAGGGAAGAAACTGAAGATGATAAACAAGAAACAGCAGCGACGTTGGTGAGATGCTACTAATAAATATAAGACTTTGAGTTAAGCCGATAACTTACTCTAACAAGGTCTTGTATTGCTAGAGAAGAGTATTTTCCCTGAAGGGTTTCAAAGACTCTAAAAGCATATAGAAAGCAATAGTGTGTGTTTTATGTTTTGCCCATGAATTTCTTGGTGATTATGAAATGTTGAGCTTGACCACAGTGGAGACTGAATATCATTCTTTAACTACAGCAGAGATACAACAGCCAGCAAAACTTCAGTTCACCCTGTACTACTCTGCCACTGTACCTCCACTCTGATCTTCAGACACCGCTGTAGAATGAGAGCATTCTTTGGTCATGGCCCATTCAAACTCTGGCCTTTTTATGGAGAAGGTGCTAATTACTGCCAACTGGGGTGGTGGTTTTAGTGACATGGGCACCTAGTTACTGAGAAAACTGGACTCAGCTCGCCAAACTCATTTTTACACAACTCACCCACAAGCTATCAGAAAGCTACATTCAATCGCTGAGCCAGCCATTCCCTCCCTCTTCTATACAGTTCAGTTGTAGTTTAGACAGAAAGAACAGTAGTGATGTTACCTAGCGTATTTGTGTTTGCCTTGTGAGATGAAAGTAACTGTGTCCCAGTTGTGATGACTGTATCTTCATATCATGACATTGCATCAGTATGTGACTGAATCATGTCATAGCTCCCAAAAGACATGTGTGAGCCTCTATTCCATATGGACAGGAGACGAGTAAGACCCTAAAATATTGGAATTGTCCCACATTTACAGTGATGGGTAATGGAAACTCTTGTCAATGGGGATTTGCAGAGGTGTGACATTCATTTATTTGTATTTGTGGTGGTAACAGCAGGATTTTAAAAACAAAATAAAATTTGTGAAAAATGGTAGACAAATCCCACTAGCGCTATGTGAGATGTGATGTTAGGCTAATCGTGGGATGAGGGAAATGCCAATGATCCGTTTCAGTAGAATAATCACTATTAAAATCATTACAGTTTTTTACCTTTTCCTTAATGAACGTTAACATGGCATTCCCTAAACCATGTAAAGCTAACTCCTTGCCAATGGGTAATTATGTAACTCTTAACTGGCAAACTGTAAAGGCTTTAATGGCAACTGCTCTACTAGCATGATTCTGCCCGAGTAGCACTTCTCAGTGCTTCAGCCCTGTTCTCGCCAAACGCTATGGCTCAATCCCCTCTTTAAAGAATATTTTCTCCCTGCTCTTAAAACAAAAATTTCAGTAAAAATCCCCAGTTCTCAGCAGCAGCCAGTAGTTCTGCAGTCACTCTGAATACTGAAGTAGTAGTTGTCTTGACCAAGGTTTTCTTTCCCTCAAGCTTCCCTCCTTGAGCACCTCTCTACTGTGCAGAGCAAGAATGGCAACCCGCAGAGAACAGCTTGGGCCCCCTTCTAACCTTTGATTGGCTGTCCACCTCATGTAGTTCTCACTCCCCCTCAGCCTCTGACTGGATGCCCATAAAACAGTTTTTAGTTCCCCTTCAGCTTAGCAACCTGGTGGGCTCTGTCTACAGGACTGGTTTCTCTGTCAGAAAGTCATTCAATATACTCATTTAGAACACTTCTTAAAAACTGCCTGAAATCCATCTAATATTAATACCATGGTGTTCATGTAGTTTGTATCCATGCATCAATAATCTCTACTAACCAGACCTTGGTAAGCAATATATATAAAGGGGTTTGTGAAGTTCTGTTCATTGCTGATGAAACTGTTAATTAAACCCTGATAATCCACAGCTGTGTTTAATCTGTCACATTACAAAGATAAAACCCTTAACTAGACACACAACTCACACTTTCATTTTATAATTCCCAAATCTCTGCAAAATGCCTTTAGATGAATAGAGAATTTTGTAGCCTATTGATGGGAGAGAGAATAGGTGGCTGATTCTTGTCGAACAAATCAATGCCAAGGCCGGCCAATGATACAATAGTACATTCTGGCCTAAATAGTGCTAGCCAGCTTAAATTGCCTCCCATCACCGATGACAGGCCATTTCTAAATACTGGATCACAAATCTCTAACACAGCAGAAATCAAAGCAATCTCACCACACTGTTTAAACAACAGAAGCCACCCTTCAAAACGTTGGATTTTAACAAATAACCTTAAAACCAATCATTTCTTTTCATGCACTCCTGGCATTCATCAACCGGCTGCCTATTTTAGACCCCTTTTGTGTCTGTAAGATGCTGCCATGACTAAGCAGAAAATAATACCGAGGCAGACAGCAAGATCTGTTCCTCAAAGGAAAATATTTATAAGACAGCAAAATAAATTAACTCAAGCTGAAAAGAAAACCCATAATCCTCTGTTATTCCCCCAATCCTATGACCCTGTGTGTGGAGCTCTAACTATCAAGCAGATAATTTACTGATCTTTCCTTGCACATCTGTGCACGAAAAGGGGAAGTTGAGCTGTTTACTGGGAACCATATGGTGCCCTGTCATGTACTTGCCAGGAAACCTAGAGCCTTCTCCATCAAGCCCATTGTTCAGTAAGTCTAAGAAAGCTGCTTCGGGCAGTAACAAATGTTCCTTCAGTATCAGAGAGTCTGTAAAGGAAGGGCTCAAACAAAGTAGCATAACCCTGTGTATATATTAAATATCCACGCCCCTCTAAAAAAAAAAATCATCAGTCATCAGCACTCATCTCGTTTTCAGTCATGTAATGCATGTTCACACTTGGTCTTACACTTGAGCTGCAGAATACAAATCAGTTTTGTTCCTCTTGTATTATAGTTTAATTTCCATAATTTAGCAATTTTCAACAAATACATGAAAAGGCTAGTATCCCCCTGCAGGTTCACTCATGAAAATATTGTACCCTGGTTCTTTACAGTGAAACCTTCAAGGGGATAACTTTGTTTGCCACAGTGATAGCGTACTAATAATGAGATAACCATGCATAGGGGAGGCTACTTGAATTCAGCAAAGTCCTTTTACAAAGGAAAAGGTATTGGGTAAAACTTTCAAAGGTGCCTAAATGATTTAAAGCACTATTGACTTTCAATGAGACTTTGGTGCCTAACGGATTTTTGAAAATTTTACCCATTAATGCCAAAAAGAGTGGCAGAAGAGTGTGTTTTTCATAAACCTCATAATTATGTGTACAACTAATACATGTTCATTGCAGTACAGACTAGGTATCCCAAGTTCTAATTTAAACCATGTAGTGTAGAAACATGTCTGTTACTGCAACAATGCAATTTAAGGAAATACACAACACACTGGAAATGGGATTAAACAGAATCTGTTACACTAGCCACAGCTGGTGCTATAAAAGAACATCTGAAATCTTGCTCAAACCCTGCTGTTCCTTGATCACTGATTATTTTTACAGATTCAATATACAAGGAGTATTAAACATTTATTCTCCACAATTGAAATTTCATCTTAGCTGCTACACTAGCTTAACACTTCCAGTTGTATCACCAAGAATTTGGCATTTGCCATATGCTAAAACTTCTAGCTAAACAAAAAGCTTTAGCATTTAAATATTAGATTTTTTTTTTATTTTTACTTTCTTGTTTTTGTGGAATTTTAACTACATAAATATTTAACGCTCACAAATATTCAAAAATACTGCTGCTTAAATTTCTAGTTATGTACCAGAAGAAACATTACAATAAAATATTTTCTCAGTTTAGCTCTGCTTTTGCCAGAAAACCTGCATGTTGAAAATTTGAACACAGATGTACTAGAGAAAGCAAAACTATGGCACTAGAGAAGACCTTGAACTGGTCACTATGGTCTACATCAATCTATATACAGGGTATATACAGATGGCTGTGAGAGTCTGTACTCATGAATTGTTATGTGTGTACAGTATTCATACAGCACAAAGTTGATTTGTCTGAGTTTATTTCTTCTACTGTAAGGAATAGTGGGAAAAACCTCCTGATAGCATTGAAACCGTATGGATTTAATTTCACCCGTCCTGTGGCACTATTTTCAATAGCAATGGACTGATTTTTGCAAGTCATTCAAAATTTCATTTTTTATCTTGTACATATAACAAACAGTACAAACGTTGCAAATAAGATGCAATGGTCACTGATACAATACGTTTCACTACTGGTATAACCAATACATGAGCAAACATCGGACTGTATCAGAGACATTTTTACTGAACTTGGAAAAATAGGAAGTGTACTGTAGCCTAAAATAAATTACACATAATATACAATATATATATTTATACACATATATGTATATATACACATATTGATATAGCCTTTAAAATAAGTTTTTAGAGTTGATCAGTTCTTTGAAGTGTAAGGACTAGCTGGTAAGTAATCTAGAAACTGAATTTGTCCATAATTAAATAATAATTCACTTCTAAAACTTACAAAAATATACTTTACTAAATAAGATTTAAAATTCATAATTTAAGGATGTATCATATAGGATGAAATTCATCCTAATACACATCACTCATGTGAAGGCCCTCTATGCTATTTAAGCCCCACTTAAACCTAACAGTGCCCACCTTGTTCACACTGTACAACACTTACTCATGTGGTGAGCAGTTCTCCTCATTCCCATGGAACTATTCTCACAAGGGTTACTCAATGTGAGCAAGAATTGTAGAATTGGATCCCTAATGTGGGACTTCAGCGTCCTGGCAGGCACTCAAACTTCTCCCATACTGATTTTGATTTACTTTTATAGGGAAACAGGTTAAAGCAATACCCCTGTATATTTAATAGGGCTATATGTATTAAAGGGCTATACCATGGTGTACTCTAAGTTATATGTATGTTTTTGAACACAGATTGTAGAAATAATTGTATAGCAAACTGTAGTGTATAAACTAATTATACATAGAACTTATGTCAGACCAGTGGACCAGAACTTTGGTAAAGCTTTTCTTCTTCTTCTTCTTCTCTTCCCTTAGAAAAGAATCTTGGGTATGTCTACATTGCAATAAATCACCCACGCCTGGCTGTGTCAGGTGACTGGGCTTGTAGGGGTTGGGCTGAGGGGCTACAAAATTGCAATGCAGACCTTCCGGCTTGGTTCCAGAGTCTGGGCTCCAGCCCCAACATCTACACTGAAATTTTATAGCTCCACAGCCCAAACCCCAGGAGCCCTAACATAGACCACCTATGGGTGTTTTATTGCAGTGTAGACATACCCTTAGATGCAACTGCACCACTCTACCAACTGCTGCACCCTGTTCAGGAAAGGAGAACGGAAACTGGTAATAAGGAAACTATGTGTAAGACTTGGCAACAATGTTCTATAAAACTTCTTAATTAAATGTGTACAATTTTGGAAAAATCTTGCATCTCAGATAACTTAATAAAGGCTAAATAGCATTCTTGTCCTGTATTTCTCGCATCCCTTTTATTATTTTTATGTACCATTTGCTCACTAGGGCTCATGCCTTCCTACCTTGTTTTGTAACAATATACAGCATAACACCGAATGACGAGTGAAAACAAACATAATGGCCCACCGTGGTACATTAGTTTAGATAGCAAAATCACTGTCAAGCGAGTAAAATAAAGCTGCATTTTCAAAGGTGTTTTTTTTTTTAAATTCTCAATAACAAAAAAGGGAAGAAAGGACAGCAGCAGAGTCAATGGCACAGAGACACACAGCAGGGCTTTGGTTGACAAATGCAGATTGTCCAAAGAAGACGGATGCGTATTGAGGAAAATGCCCTTTCATGTGATGCAGCCATATCTTTTGTGTTTGCATGGAGCGAGAAAACAAATTCAATTGAACAAGCAAAAGCAAAGACCTTTCTTTAGGTCCCTCATTAGTGTGAGCATACTCAGTATGCTAGAGAATTTATCTGAAGCCTATTAAATCAAGGCCTCTTTATTACAAAAATAAAAACGAAAAAAAAAAGTATGAGAGAAGAAAAGATGCTGAAGTATCGTTCTATGTGTCCCTGCAGAGAACAATCACGTCCCGTTTATTATTCATTCTCTTCTCTCATTTCTACGATGTCTGTCATTTCTTCTATCTGTGGCATGTCAGTCATTACTGAGTCTTCGCCTTCTGTAGCTGTCTCATTTTCGTTCCGCTTCTTTTTCTAGGTCGAAAAGAGGTTGTATTCATAAGCACATGACCATCTATATTGTTCATTGTGCCGCAGCTCAATCCTACAAATGTCAGGCCTTATCAGAAGGAATGTGGTCTAATGTTTAGAATGCAACATTCCTGGCTTCCACTCTTGGTAGGCTACTGATTTGTCATGTTAATTAAAAAACTTCCTTTAACATCCCCATGGGTCCATTTTGTTCTCTGAAACACGGGTATTATTGTTGCCTCTGTCTTAGAGGGGTGTTATGAGGCAAGTGCTTCAGGATAACTGGAGGGAAAACACTATGTACAGAAAGTGAAAGGTGGTGTTCTAACTTCCAAAATGTCACAAGTCAGGAGCACAAGAGGTAAAAATAGTGACATCCACTAGTACAGTAACATTCCTCTCAAAGACAGAAGGTATATTTACATAGAGGAAAACTAAGGAACTAGGAAGTTATTTCACTTGGCCCAAGCTCACAAAATCAATGGCACAGCTGGGAACAGAACCTAGAATTCCTGTGTCCTAGTTCAGAATACTTAGTATTGTCTATGAGAAAGTGACAAAAGCAAAGGCCAGTTCCCTTGTAGCGTGTTTACCTGTTGACCCAAGCTCTCTGCTCACTACTGATAGGAGAAGCCATTGTCAGTATGAGGCTGGCCACTTGTGTTCCCAACATTCTGCTGTTGAGCACATGTGGCTTAATGTCTGTCTTTTCAAGACAGTCATATGATTCGTGCAGGATGTTTTGGATGAGTAAACCTAAGATGCCCTCAGCCCCAATATGAATCAAGTTGAAGCATCTGTTCCTTATTATCTGTTTCTCAGCAGGCTGCCCAGTCCTTATGGAAAACAGTTGTAAAACTCCCCCCCAAAACCCACTGATATTATTGATTCAGCTGAATCAGGCATACTAATGGAGTAAGACTACGAGGACGGTGTATACAGAAAACTGGTTTGTGACTCTCAAACATTTTACCTATGTTGAATCTTTTAGCTGAAAATAAACTGATATGCAAAACTACTGTTGATTGTGCCATTACCACATTGGCTGGTGAAGAGATCATTTCAGATTCACTGGACATGTAATAGTTAACATGTCAGGCAAATGTGATCATCCAGTTGTTACCACTTCATTATACTACAAAAATAAAGTACTTTGTCTGAAAATTGTGGAGGTCAAAAATACTGCAGGAGATGTGACAATTGTACCATGCAAATAATAAAAATATTAGTGTAAACAAAAATTTGTTGTGAAACTACAAGCCAAGAATAGCTTGGGATATAAGATTTTTCGTACTATTTTTAGTGAGCAAGAAAAAGATAAACTAACAACTATAGAGAAACAAAGTTCTCTATTTAGCCACGTGTTGAGTAAGGCAGTGCGAATTTCTCTGCTCTGCTGATGTGCCTCAAGCCTGTTCTTAACTTCTATCAATGAGCTTGTAGTTCAAAAGCTTTTAGGTAGGTTCTGATTTCATAATTTTTGATAAAAGCAAAAGTGGTAAAAATGTGCAGGGCTTTTTTGATTTTTTGCCTCTAATGGAAATTTCTAAACAAACAAACAAACAAACAAAAGCAAGGATTCTTTTCTCTACACTCTCCCCCCACAATTCTGTTTAGCTAATGAGATGATTGATGCTTCCAACTGGAGTTATGCATCAAATACCTTGTGCAGTACCCTGAAAACATATCTGTAAGGGTTCAATCCTGCAGACACACTTATGCATGTGAGAAACCATACTCACATGGGGATTCCGATTGACCCTCATCCTGCAAACACTTCTACCTATGCATAACTTTTTTCATGCGAGTCCTCATTGAAATCAATGGAACTAGCCACATGAGTTAAGTTAAGCATAAGGCTATATAGGACTGAGGCCACTGAGAGATGCATGAATACTCCACATGAGTAAAGTTTCTCACTTGCTGTACTTTGAATGTGTGTGTGTTTGTGTCTGTGGAGGAGAAAACCCATCTCCATCCAGTTAAGTGAATATTTTATTCACTTCCACATGGCCTTTACACAAAAATTGTGTTTTCTACACAACTTGTCACCATACATAAGTAGTTATCTATGTTTGTCATGGTCACTGGATTCTACACAACCAGTTTCCTACCTGTTTCTGACAGACATAGCAAGCTGCTATTGCAACCATGGTAGATTCTCCTACAAAACCAGCTAGAAGTGATCCTACTCCTAGGGTGGCTCCATGGACCCTGAGAATGGCAAAAAGAAAAAGGTAGGATTTAAAACAAAAATAAAAATGGAAAATTATACTTTCAGTAAAATACTGAACCAATGTATTTTAATGAACAATTTCTACACAAGGCATGTGACAGGTATTTAATATTCTCTGGGGCAAAAATCTAGGCACTGGTAGAGAGAATAACTGATATATTATAGTAACGTTTGCTTCCTAAATAGTTTCATTATTTACTATAATCTTTTATTGCCCGAAAACGAGAGGAGACCCATTGTGAATCAAATTCTGCCCCAAGGCAATCTAAATATAGAATTTAATTGAGAATAATAGTTCTGTTGTAGACAATAACAGGGTTTTTTTTTTTTGGTTTTTTTTTAAAGAAGTCTACAGAAAAGATACCATTCCCTATATACCTATTGCATAGATTTTTCAGAAAAGTAATTTCTGTATAATTCTAATAAGTTTTCATAGCATCCTGTGGGTACTGGTTTCATCTCTATTAATATTTGTAGAATTTTCAACAAGGGCCAATAGTTTCATGCCTAGCTAGAGTCGGGATGTGGCTGGAACTTTGGAAGTGATCATTTACAGGAGTTTGAAACTATTTTGGTTCTATTTTAGTCTCTGCCTTTGGTGGAAACACGAAGAGTTAAATAAGGGGGGAGGGATAGCTCAGTGGTATGAGAGCACTGGCCTGCTAAACCCAGGGTTGTGAGTTTAATCCTTGAGGGGGCCATTTGGGGATTTAGCTGGAGATTGGACTAGATGACCTCCTGACGTCCCTTCCAACCCTGATATTCTATGACTAAATGAAATAGGGGGGAAAAAGGAGAGTGGCTCCATTAGAGCTGTGGTGAGTGGAGTAATTTACCCTAAGTAAGGCAGCACAATGAGACTAGTGATGAGGACGATGATGCGCAGCACAGAGCTGGGTGCCAATACAAATGTCTTCTTTAGTGTCATGAGCCAGCCAGTCAAGTGTGCTCTAACTGTCACTGTCAGAAAAAAGGAAGAAAAAACCATCAAAATATGCAGCAGAAAATGAAGGAAGAGAGCACGTTTTTTCATGTTAATAATGATACTGACCTCCTTTGTAAAGTGCTTTGAGATCTACTGGTGAAAAGCGCTATTGAAGAGCAAGGTATTATTATTATAAATACTATTTATTTAGTGTTTAGCATAAAAAATACAAACACCATGGCCCTTGTTTACAGTTGCTTTACCTACAGTGAAATTGTCTTAACTGCAAACTAGACTGGAAGTCCAGAATTGTTTTAGTGCTTTTAATTGTGCAAAAAGCAGTCAGAGGTGCAGCAAACTTCCTTCAGTGTGAACTGTCCTGCCAAAAACATTTTACAATAAGATAGTTTGACTCCATTAAAATAAAAATGTGTGTGTGACAGTAATACAAATAAAGCTTAAACTTCTCTTCCATATGGTAGGTGCATTCTCCTCATTAAAAATGCATAACCCCTTTTAAGGTCAGGAAGAAAGGATACCTATATGTGTCAAGTGAGGAACAGACCCCCTGAAATAGAACTTCATATTTGGAGACCATAACCCTTACGGAGCTGTGCTCTTAGATATATATTGATCCATCGGAAGACTCTATACAATGTAGCAGTAACACACGTAGGTTATAATATTTACGTCAGTATTTTAACATTTGAGGGAAATATTTTGGCTAGTAGTGTAATAAACATCCATATAATATGAAGGAGAGCATTCAGTTTTATTGTTTGTGGGCCCTGTTCAGTATCAAGGTGTGTTCATATTGTGTAGTTGTCCAACATGTTGTACAAACACACAGTTGGGCAGAAACACAGTGCACAATGCACATGCTCAGGCACCTAGAACAGATACATGTCCGCTTTTAGTTTTCCCACTGAGTCCATTTAAGAAATGTATGTATGCTAAATTTGTCTGTCTAGTGACAGACCCTCACTAGAGCATTTATACCTTGAGCCACATTCAGCCCTAGTGTCAACTGGTCTGTATTTTTACCTGGAACTGGGAAAAAGGAGAAGATGCGCAAAGGAATGACACACAGTTCTGCAAAGGCAAAATCGACTCCAATTATGTCAACTAAAATCTTCTCTGATGCATTCGGAGTCCAAAACATCAAAAAACAGAGCTAGAAAAGAGAACCACATAAACAATATTAGGAAGAGTTTGCACAGCAAAGCAAGGAAGGAGAAGAAAAGAGACAGGAGTTTAACTGCTAATCTACAGCCTTAACTGATAATGCAAGTATTTCCTGTATTAAAGGGAGGAAGGAGATAGGTGCAGTACAATAATATTTGGCATTTCTACAGCATTCAAAGATCTGTAGCATCCAAGGATCTCAGAGCAGGTTATAAACATTAATGAATTAAGCCCCATCCCCGTAAGACTGGCATATATTATTGGTGCAGATGGGTAAACGGAGATACAGGAAGGTTAAGTAATCTGCTCAAGATCACATGATGAATTGATAGCCTAGAACTTGCCAGTTCTGACTCCTAGCTACCTCCTTTAACTACCAGCCTACATTACTGCCTCTTTACATATAAACCAATGAAAGAAATAGAGAAAAACAACAAATAGTACACCAGGCAAATACTAAGATCCAGCAGGTTATGAATCAGTCATAAATTAATAATTGATACACAGGAAAATTTAATACAATGTAACTTTACAATGTTTGGATTCTAGAATTCCTGGCTTCTTTACATGTAAAGGGCTAGCCAGACGCTAACCTAAGTAGAAATCGGGGAGAAAAGGTTGTGAGAGGTCTTCTGAGGAACCTTTCCCCTTACCACGAGTAAGAACAATCCCTGCACTTGGTGAAGTGCTGAACATTCACAGCTCCCACTGACTTCAAACAAAGTTGCGGGTGCTTAGTGGCTCTGAACACCCAAATGCTTTTACCACAAAGCGTAACGCAGAGTAACAAAAAGAAAATAGATTCCGAACTTGAAAACTTTCTGACCTTCCCTGAAATAAATCGAACGACAGCCTTGGAAAAGAAAACACTATCAGAAGTTCTTCTTGAAGACAGACACTGAGGAATTAATGTTCTTTTGTTTTGAGGACTGTGTTCATATAACCCTCCCAAAGGCTCTTAAGTGTCTGAATGCAGTAAATTCCTAGCTACTGCCTCCTTTAACTACAGGGGTTGGGGGTGGGTGGGGCTTAATTCATTAATGTTTATAACCTGCAGTAAGATCCCTGGATGCTACAGATCTTTGAAAGCTGTAGAAATGCCAAATATTATTGTACTGCACCTATCTCCTTCCTCCATTCCAAATGCAACAGTAAAGAGTATAAAAATAGTGCATGTCTTCTGAGGTTGCCCACAAACACACACAGATGTACGTGCACTCACAACAGTCACATAGGAGGAGCGGAACAGTTGTATACACAGAGACACTACCATCAGTATAATGGTAGTAACCCCTAGGACAGCTCAAGAACCAAGAACCCCCAGCACATGGCATTCCTATAGTGTCTGTCTGCAGCTTGTTACATTAGGATGATCACGTATGATTTAAAAACTTGAGTCTACAGTAGATAGAGTGCCAATGTTCAGAAGCACATAGCTTAGTTTTGAAACTGCCTCCAAGAAAGATTTAACTTTACTGCTGATACCACTACTTTAAAGGGTATAGAAATGTGTCTGCTTTTATCCTGTACAAAGCGTCAACGCACGCTGGAAAGCCGTAGTAGCCTGGCAGCCATGCCTCGTGCTGTGAACTTGTCAGATATTATCATTTAAGAACTTTTATGGTTAGTCTGGATCTGAATGGAAAGCGTCAAAGAAAAGGCACCGTGCTGCAAGAAGTGGTGTGGTGGCTCAGCACATAATGCTCTTCCCTCTCAGCAAGTATTGAACCATTGCCCCAGCACAGTGGTGGGAACTCTGTGCAGTTAGCTGTTCCATCTCTGGGATGAGATACAAAACAAAAGTCCTTACTGGCAATACTTTAAAGCTCTCCGGGCACTTTCTCCATAAGTAGGGACAGCAGCCCTGATGTTCACGCCATTGTTTATCTCTGGTGTGTTCTTCACACCTTGTAATTTAATTTGTTTTTGTTGTTAAAAATAAAGTTAGTTATTTTTCATCTTCCACAAGAAAATTGATGCTGAGAAAGAGCGATCATAAATAAAACAAACCATAACCAGAAGCCTTAAAACATAACAGTTTGACAGATTGCAAGACAATAGAACTGAATTTACTTTTCAGTAAATCATGAGTGGTGATGCGATCTGATGATGCCCTCAATTTACTCTTTTTTAAATCTATGGTGAGATTTCATGGCCATTAGCAGTTCTCCAGTTATATGACCCACATGTTCTTACATATATTTGCAGTGAAACTCAGGCTCCATTGAAGTCAACAGCCAAACTCCCATTGACTTTAATGGGGCCAGTATTTCACCCTTGTTTTCTAGTTGCGTACCAATGATTGTCTTTTCTAATTAACATGCAAGCAGACACTCTTCAGCTGACAACACCAAGTAAACAGACCACTGCAAAGACACAAAATTTACTTCCACAGATGTGGATATCCCCATCTGCGGATAGAAACTTTGTAACCGTGCAGGGCTCTACAAATAAGTCACTTTACCCTGTGCTACATGGAGAGGCACCTTCCTGACCGCTTAGAGGCGTGAACAAAACCACTTACTTCAGGCTGCTGATTTAGCTTTATTTCTTCTTCTCGTGGACAGGAATTAAGGGTGAGATTAATTTAAGCAGCCTAAACCTCAGACCTAGGTGCCTAAATTTGGGATTTAGGCAGCTGAATTCAAGTTTTAGGCTCTACTGTGATTCACAAAACTCCTGCCAAACACTGTAGGCACCTAAACTCAGTCTAAATTTTCAGGGTAAAAATTCCCTAGGTGCCTAAGTTTCTGCCTCTGAGCATATGCATTGCTGCCTCCCTCTGATAGTCTGGAGGCTCATCTCCCACCTAAGTCCCAGAGTGATCCACTAAGCAGAGGAAGATAGGCAGGCAAACACTTATCTCACCTGTGGGACCTGATCAAGTAGGCATGCTTAGCGGCTGCCTACTGGATTGGGTCCCATTCACGTTCTTGGCGAGTGGGGTAGTAGCCTTATAACTTTTAGCCCAGTGGTTAGAGCACTCACCTGGGATGCAGGTTCAATTACCCCCCTGGGCCTGAGGGGAAGAAAGGATTTGAACAGGGGCCTCCACTCTCTCAGGAGAGTGCTCTAACCACTGACCTATGGGATATTCTGATGTGCAGCTGCCTCAGTCTCTCCTGAGGAAGCACTTGCACTGTGGATAAGAGTCACTGGGTCAGAGAGAGTGAATGAGTCTGTAGCCTGGTGGTTAGGACCCACCTGGGAGGTGGGAAACCCTGGGTCCGGTCCCCCTGCTCCAAAGGCTCTCTAATTATTTATCCACAGTCGAACAGCTTCAACGGGAGAGACCAAGATAGAAGATCCCTGTTCATATCTCCTTTTCCCCTCAGGCCAATGGAGAAATTGAACCTGCACGTCTCACATCCCAGGTAAATGCTCTAACCACTGAGCTAAGAGTTATAAGATAAGCACCATCACTGCTCTTCAGGCTGTTTTGTGTGGAGTGAGGCAAGTGTCTCAATCTCACAAGAAACAACTTAGGTACCTAAGTCACCTGACTCCAGGAGAGGGGTTCACAGCTCTGCCTTCCTGCAGCCTGGACTTAGGCACTAAACTCTGTGAATGGGTGCGGTAGGACAAACCCCTCTCATCAGCATCTCCCTCTGGCTAACTTAAGCAGCTCCTCACCTAGCATTCTGGCTTTTGTGGATTACATTCTAATGCACCTCTCTCCCCATTCATTGTAGAGGGAGCTTAAGTGCCTAATAACGCAGGCTTTGAGGATCACAGTGTTGCTGTAATTTTCTAGGTGCCTAAAAGTTAGGCATTGCGATGCTCAGTGTCCCAATGCCTAAGTTGGTTTGTGGATGTGGGCCTAATTTTCTTTTAAATAAAATATTTTGCTGCAGTGATTTGAGCCTATTTTACAGCCTATCTTGAATTATCTGTTGGAAAACAAGTGCAAAGAGTAAGATGGAAGAAAGAGAAATGAACCAAAAGGTTGCTAATGTGAATTTTGGAGATTTTCTGCTTTAGCTGGCATCTTTCTCGCTGGCAAACAGCTTGAAAATTCAGCATACAGAAGCCAATCAGAGCAGAAGGGATCTAATAACCAATGAGAATGGAGAGGTTTGCATGTGCACAGTACAGATACTAACAGCAGCATAGTGACTGTGTGAATTCCTGAACTGTGGCAGTCATTATTAGCGAGAGTGCTGTGACTGGCATACTGTACACTTTTTGAGAAACAGCATAAAGTTGCTATGCAGGAGAGCTTTCTGATTGACTTACCTATAAAGCCTAATGTCGAAAATAACTTAGGGCAAACACAGGCACAATCAAACCTTTCATTTTATTGCCCATGCTCAATATTTCGCCCACACTGAAGTGAAATAGCCATAAAGTGAATTGCTCTTTATCTCTGAAAAGTCAAAGTTTGAACTGTGAAGTTTTAATTGCACTAACTTCAATGCACTTTTCTTCTTAGACACAGATAGCTGGTCACCCTGAAGATGACCTTGCTATTAGAAAACCAGGAACTGAACTACAGAGAACATACACAGATAATGGAAGTCAAAATTCTAACTTTTTCCTCAAATGTTCCTTTTGAAATTACAGTAATTTTATTATGTGTAATAAACAAATAAAAAAGTATTTCAATCTTTTATCACTTCATAAGTTCAAAATCCATTTTTTCCCAGTAAAAGTTCTCTTTTAATCAGAAACACACTACTCATAGCAAGCAATTTATCTATTTTCATGGTTAAAGAGAACATATTTTAAAACCACCTGAATTTTGAGGATGACAAAAGCTGTAATTTTAATAGCAGTGTAACCTCTAGCTAAAACTGCAGTATTCTATGAAAAATTAATCAAACTCTGTTTACCCTGACATCTTCAAAGATTTATAACAGCATAATTCTCCAAAGATATAAAGAGCAATTTCCACTTTCTAAATGAAACAAGGATTTTTCTGCCATACATTTTTCAAACTTTTGGGAAATCTGTCATCCTTGTATTCAAAAGTGACACCCTGACTGTAAT